TGCTTCCTCCCAGCTTCCCCTCCTCCCTGGCAGAGCATGAGACTGACAAAGTCCTTGCTCAGAGTAAACGTTACTGAGCAACAAGTAAACCCATCGGTGTCACCGGCGTTGTTGCCAGGCTGAAAGTCAAGCACACAGCCTGGCACCAGCTGTCAAGGGGGAAAAATGGCTGCTGGAGCTGAACCCAGGACAGTCACACCATGGGCACAGCGCTGGGATGGGAAGAGCTGAGGTGGAGCGGCATAACGGAGGGTTTAGCCATGACCACATCCACAGGATCCCTTCCTAACTCCAAAGCCACCCCCATGCAGTGCAGCTCCCTCACCCCGGGCAAGCCGCCAATGTACCTTGCGTGAGGAAGAGGAGGAAAAGCATCGCCACTGTCAGCCCAGCCATCAATCTGCTCGCTGCATCCGAAGCCAAACTCCAACATGGAAATCCTCCTCGCTGGACAATGCCTTGCCAAGAACCGTGTGATCCAGCCTGCGCCGTCTCAGCATGGTCCGTGCATCCGACCATGATAAGAGCATGATGAAAATGAAAGCAGTATAAGCGGTACGATCGCATACGATCAGCAAAGTGTGGCAGCCTCACACCTCCCTGGGGACGTGACGTTCAGCACCTCGTGGCCCCCGACCCCCATCAGTCGCCACCACTGTGATGGGAATGAAACGTAGGCTCCTTTGCAGCTGCACACACACACAGGGATTCCATTTAGAGTCATGCAATGCTTTGGCTTGGAACAGACCTTCAAAGCTCCTTCAGTCCCATCCCCGTTCCAGGGACACCTTCCACTAGTCCAGGTTGCTCCTTGCCTCGGTTCGTGAAGCCTCTGCTGTGATGGAGATAATGCCTGGTGCAAAGCAGGCGCACTCAGACCCGAGCCCCTGCTCTGGGCCCTCTATTTCCTGTTTTTGCTACGTCTTGAGTGCAGAGTATTTAAAGCTGCTGAATTTAACAGTGGAGACAGCCCCGTGGAAGGGGGCAGAGCGTTGGTTTCTAGTTCATACCAGAGCTCCATCCTCTTACTATAGGTCTTTCACCTCAAAAGAACAAATAACCAGCAAGATCATTTCTGGTACAGTAACTGTGTCCTGGGGTTGTCCAGAACCTCCCAGTGCTGCGGGGCACAGGCTGCATCCCAACCACTGCCACTAAATCACAGGGCTGTGGGGCTGGGACCCAGCATGGAGCCCCCCGAGAGAGCTGGTGGGCACCAGCGCTGGCAGCCACGATGCCCATCAGGGCAGGAAACCCCCCAGTTCCCTGCCCTGCTTTGGGATCTACAGCGAGGAGGAGGATGGGGTGGTCCTTAAAACCTCGCCAAGGAAAAGCCCAATCCTTGTCCTCAGGCGGGAGCGCTCAGGGAAGTGATCTTGGACTTCACTTTGCTCCTGTTCTCCCAGAGTGGGTGCTTGGAGATGGGGATGGTCTCCCCAGTCCTGATGGAGTCCCCCTGTTGGGGATGGAGCAGCTCCAATGACGAGCTGGGGATGGGGAAGACACTGCTCACTTGTTCCACTGCTGGAAAAGGGGTAAGAGGAGCTCGGCTGGTTCTGTGGGCTCAGGGGATGAATTAGTCAGCTCCACCAGAGCTTGGCCCACGAAGCTTTGACAGGGAGAAGGGGGTTTTCCTTTTGCTTTCTTCAAGTTTCAGGTGCTGCTTCTGGTTTTCAGAGGAGCCAGAGGGAAGCAGGAGTTCCAGAGGGAATAAAGGGTGAATTTACATCCTGCTGCTCTGGGTTCTCCTAGAGTTTTATTGCCAGTAAGTTGCTTCTAACGAGATAAAGCCTTAAAAGCCATGCTAACTGACCACAGCATCCTGCAGGGCTGCTCCTTCCCACTCAGAAAGCATCTGGTGAGATAAAACCCCACCAACGCAAGCCATTTCCCCAAAATCAGCAGTTCACAGGAGGGAAGAGCTCACCAAGGCATGACAAAGAGAGGGGGGGTAAGAGCAGCATGAGGGGCCTCAGTTCCTTTTCCTACCCCATGCTTTGGCTCTGCTGAAACATGGTGTTGATTCCACTGGAGGCAGCCAGCTCCCAGACCAGGATGATCATGGAATGGTTTGGGTTGAAGGGACCTTGAAGTTCATGTAAAGCCCCGGGCAGGGGCACCTTCCACTAGAGCAGGTTGCTCCAAGCCCCTGTGTCCAACCTGGCCTTGAACACTGCCAGGGATGGGGCAGCCCCAGCTTCTCCCTTCAACCCATCCCAGTGTCCCACCACCCTCCTGGGTAAGAGCTTCTTCCCAATATCCCATCTAACTCTTCCCTCTTCCTGTTGGAAGTCCAAACTGCTCATCCTATTCCTTCATCCCTTGTCCAAAGCCCCTCTCCAGGTTTCCTGGAGCCCCTTTAGGCACTGGGAGCTGCCAAAAGCAAACAAAATGTGTGATAACTTCCGTCTTCAAAAGGCCCGTGGTGGTACCCAGGGTTTGGGGGGTGATGGAGGGAGAAGAGGACACCCCCATGTCACTACTCCCCCTCTTCACACTGACCTTCACGGGATAACTGGTGTGACTGGAGCTGATGCTGTCTCTACCCTTCACCAGAGCCTCTCTCTCTGCTCCTTACCTGCTGCTATTGTTATTCCAGAGTGTGACAGCTTTGGGAAAGGGGCTACTCTGTTCCTAAAGCTGTAATCCCAGAGCGTGCCTGACTCCTAGAGGAACTGGTGGGCAGGTGGGATGAAGAGGAAAGCTTTGATTCTGCTTGATTGCCATTTAACATCCATCAAAATGCATCACGGAAAGGAGGAGAGAGCTGGAAATCTTTGTGTTCTATAGGAAACATGAAGATCAGGGCAAGAGGCTTGTCCATGAACCCTCTGCTTCAGACAGCACCTCATATTGCTGCAAGACAATAGGACATTCCCAACGCTCCAGTGATATGAGAGCTACTGAAGTTTGCACGTGGAGATGAGCCACGGAGGTGTTCAGAAGCATCACCCTTCCCCGGGCTGCATTAAGCTGAAGAGAACTAAGATCTTTCTCTCCTTACAAGCCCCAACTTTTTCACACCCTGGATTTAGAAACCTCCCCCCAGAAAACCACAGGCAAAAAGCAGTTGTGACGCAGAACTGAGAAATGAGCAAGTGGGTTGAGGAAGTTCGGTCTGTGATGTGAAAACAGGCAGAGGAAGGGCAGGAAGCCCCAGCACCATGAATTTATAGCCCTTGGGAGGGGGTCAGGATGGGAACACTTGTATGGTGTCAGGAGCCTGAGCAGTTTAAAAGAGAGCAGAGCTGGTGTGCGTTCCGAGTCATGGCTTGGGTGTGAAGCTCCAACTGTGAACGGGATTGAGCTGCTCCTTTTACATTAGCAGATAAAAGGAGACAGAGCAAAAGGGTTGCTTTTGCAATGACTCTTGGAATGACAAGAGAGAGCACGGATAACAGTGAGCTTGTGGGTAACATCACCTTGGAATGACAAGAGAGAGCACGGATAACAGATTGAGCTCGTTCCATCACCACTGTGGAAGGTTCATTCTGGAGCTGAATGGCTCTGAGAAGAAGCCCCACCACTTTGGGAGATGCTGCAGCCATTCACTTGGTGCATCCCGAGGTGTTCCCACAATCTCGGGGCTATGTGTGTGTTCGGGTTTGAGCTATACGGTGTTTTCATCTGTCCTGCTTTGGGAGAAGCCTGCCCCCCCATATCAGCCTCGTTTAATGATCAGTTTTCCTTGAAGACATAGATTTAACAACCAATTCACCATCAACAATCCCAACGTGCAGCCTAGTGGGGGAGCTCCAAGAGGTCTGTAGTGGTGTGAAACGGGTTTGGAACGGGTTTGAACTGCGTTTGAGCAGCGCTCGGGCAGAGGGCGCCTGTGGAGCAGCGCAGAAGCAGCTCTTGCCTCCTCCTCCTGCGAGCTGTGAGGGCACCAGGACACACAGAATCCATCGGGCTTTACTGGTCTGACTGTTCCGGTTGGAGGGACAGCGCCGAGATGCTTCAGAGCCCCAGATTACGTCGTGCTGGCTGGGTACGTGATGTGGTCCATGGCTTGGGGCTCGTCCTCAGCATCCCCTGGCGCAGAAGCTGCAGGGGCATCTAAGAGCAGCAGAAGTGAGGCACGTCTCTGTGTCCCTGCTTCAGTTTCTGTGCCACACGAGGAATATCCCAGCTGCTTTTTGTCAGGAAACATCAGTCAAAGAGGGTGACAAATGGGGTTGGTTGTGAGATGGAGCTGTAATGAAGAGGTCTGCTTGGGCAGGTGGAACATCAAACCCCAGAAAGAGG